GAAGGCTTTTTTTTTTTTTTTTTTTTTTGCTGCTAAAAAAAATTACATAAATACATAAAGTCTTTTTGTTTTAAAGAGCAAAGCCCTTACATAATATGTGGGAAGGATGATCAGTAAGAGTTCTACTCACCTCCTCTGCGAGAGGAAGAATTCCCTCTCCTGATGGGGAAGTTGGTCTTGAAAAATGTGATGGGGGAAAAAAAGAGGGAATGTGAGGGAAAGGAGGGGAAGGGAAGGGAGGGGAAGGGAAGGGAAGGGAAGGGAAGGGAAGGGAAGGGAAGGGAAGGAAGGGAAGGGAAGGGAAGGGAAGGAAGGGAAGGGAAGGGAAAGGAGGGGAAGGGAAGGGAAGGGAAGGGAAGGGAAGGGAAAGGAAAATTAAAAAGAAGGAAAGGAAAAATAAAAAGAAGAAAAGATAAATTAAAAAAAAATTTAAAAAAGAAAGAGGGGGGGGGAAACAAGAAAATATTGAATGGCAGGGGATAAAAAAAAAGGCGAGGGAAATCCCTTGGCCGGGATTTTGCCATAAAGGCTGCGGTTGGGAAGTTATTCAAAGTCCCGGCTACAAAGGGAAGAAAAGGCTAAACTTGGGAAAACTTCCTTTTCAGGGCTTTATTGTTGGCCATTAGCCCGCCTGTCTAGACTTCAAATAACACCTTGTTTATCTGTAAACAGGAGCGGGAGCTGACTGGGGCCGGCTGGAGAGGAGAAGATCAAGGGTGAGGGTCCTCTCTCTTATTATCCCCCTCAGCTCGTGATGTCAAGGTCAAACAACGCCTAGTCACGGTCAAGGGTAATACAGGAGTGACGTCAAGGCCCGACCTAATACCCAGCGAGCTCCGGGCAAGGGCGTTCTTGGATAAATAAGCAAGGAAAAGAGGAGCCCGACATTCCCCAGTCCCATTTCCTAAGGAGAAAATAGGTGGGGGAAAGGTGGAAATTAATGGGATTTGGGTTCCTGTCGCTCCTCGGGTCCCGCGTGCGCGCGTGTGGGCGCAGTTTTGATTTTCCTTTAATTTTTTTCTTCTAATTTCGCTTTTCGTTTGTTCTCCTCCTCCAACGCTCGTCGGGAGAGGGTGACCAAGTAACTTGAGTTGTGGGTGGTGTTTAGCGCTTCTTCTGGGCAAGCAAAACAAAACAAACCGCCGAACAAACCCGAAAAAACCTCGTCTGGCATCGGCAGGAAGGATTTATCACCCCAAAAAATTTAGAAAAAATTAATGGGAGTATTATTTTTATCCCACCAGCCCCAAAGCCGGTGGTTTTTTTTGGTTAATTTAATTTTTTCCCCAATTATTACAAATTGCCCGTGGATTGGTGCGAGGGGAAAGGGAAGGGGAAGGTTTGCCCGTCTCGTGTCCCCTCCCTGCCTTCCTGGAGGGTCCAATCCGGCCCCACTTCGTGAGGTTCTGAGTATGTCGGGGGATGTCCTGGGGTTTATAAACCCCCCAAAAAAACCCCTCAACGTCGCCTGCCCGGCTCTGGGGCGCTGGGGTAGCCCCGAGGTGGAGGGATGGAGGTTCCCACCACACACTGAAAAAAAGGATAATTTAAAATATTGTGGGAATTTAGATCTCCTGGTGTCCCGGTCTCTCCAATATCTGCCAAGCGAGGCCATCAAACCCCCTCGATGCCTCGAAGTGAAATGAATGAATGAATTTGTTGGGTTTTTTTCGGTTTTACCCTTATTTTCTTTTTGGGTGGGGGTTTTACCCCCCACTTTTTAAGTCCTTTTTGGTCGACACACCAACCCTCTCCCCCTCCAACCCAATCAAACCACAAATGACAAAAAAACCTCACAGAATTTGGGAACTCCGTGAATAACTCGCTCTCAATTCACCCGCACAGGTAAAGAAAATAACAAAGCCTCTATCCCCGTCCTCTCATCCCCTCTAACTCTTTCTTTCAACAACCTCGCTTTCATCCAATTATTTACGTATACACCTATAATTTTTGAGCCCGGAACCAGCGAAATTCAGGTACAGCGGGGAAAGAAGAGCAGCCACGGTAAAAAGAACACGTTCGCTGTTGGAGTTCGGATTTGGGCTTGTCTGGAGCTGCTCTCGGGCACCGCAGTCACTGCACGCACAAGCTTCTTTTTTATTTATTTATTTCTTCTTTTTATTTATTTTTAAGAGGAAGAGCCTCTTTTTTTACGCTCAAAACACATCTTTTCTCGGCTCCGGTGGGTCAAGGCAGGTTTTTACCAACGATTTAATCCCGCTAGGGGTGTCTCGACCAGCCTCGGTTATTTCCTGGCTGAGCGCCTTTAAAAAAAAATAATTAAAACGCGAAGGATTCGGTGCTTCCAAACCACCGAAATTCTCCCAGAGAAACGCGGGAAAGCCCCTCGGGTCAACACCTGGGATTTTCCGCCGCCAGAAATCAGGAGACCCCATTTTTTTTTTTCTTTTCCCCTACCACGGAGGGAAGGGGAGATGGGAGGACCCAACCCCTGGTTAGGAGAATTCCCGGAATTAGGCAAAGATTTGGGATCATGAGGTGCCTTTCTGGGAGTGGCACCCTCGGAGAGCCGCTGTTTCATCCCACGCGTGGAGTCTTTTAGGCTCTGTGGGTGTAGGTACAGCCACTCATTCTGTAGGTACAGCCACGCACTCTCCACGGACACAACGGCAGGCACCTTAAATGAGATTTACACCCCTCTTCCCACGACGACACAGCGGGTTGCACCTGCACGTAGTGATACATCTATCTAAATTTTATATATATATATAATATAAGACACCAATATTAGCATTATTATCCCCTCACCATTTCGCGGAGGGTTGCACTTGCCCAGATTTTATATATATATATAAATAAATTTATATAAATAACAGGTTGTGATTTGCCGTTTATCAGATGGGATAGACCCAGAGGCAAAAAAGATACCCGGAGCACACCTCAAACCCCACGAATTAGGAATTACACACCCCCACTGCCAAGCCCTGCACACCTACAGGTACCATATATATATAATAATATATATATATATTTCAAATATATATATATACCGACTCCAAGACCACAAAAAGAAGCGGACATCCACCATTATATCCACGCGCCATTATGTACCCACGTATAAATAAATTAATATATCGTTATATACATCCACTTAGGCACAGAAATTCGAGCACTGAGAGCACCTAAACGCGCATTTGGGTGGGCAGCGAGGCCGATCCTCTCCCCCTCCGGCTTTTGTCCTCCCCTCGCACCCCACGCTCGCCGCAAATTTACCCCACGATAACATTGTTTTAGGTTACGTCCCTTTAAAAGCCTCTTCTCCCCCCTCTCCCCTCCCCTTCGGATCATTTAACGAGGTGATTAAATCTCGCCAGATATTAAGGTAAGATTGTAACGCGCCCCACGGAAACAATTTCCTCCCTCTCGGGTTCCTTTAGCGGAGGATCCGCGGGTGCGGAGCCCGGAGGTGGATTTTTATTTTAAGCTGAGGTCGGAGTCGAACAGGTTTTGGAGAAACGCGATTTCAAAGAGATTAGAAGCGTCCCCTCAAAGCCATTGCGTTTTCGGGGTATTCGCGAGAGGGAGGAGGAAAAATAAGGAATAATAAAAAAAAAATTAAAAAAAAAAAAAAGGAGAGAGAAAAAAAATTAAAGAAAAATGAAATTAAAGGAAATTGAAATTAAGGAGAAAAGGAGGTTAAATAGAAAATAAATTAAATAAAAATGAAATCAAAAAGCGCGTTGTTGGTTCAAGCTCCGCGGATTTTATTTTCTCCGCTTTTCACTCCCCTGGCAACGCATCTGCATCCCTCGCCTGATTTCGGCAAACCCCGCGTTGAGCGGTTTCGGCCCGAATTTACCGAATTTCCACCCTTTTTTTTTTCCCCCTTTCTCTACAGATGCTCCTGCCCGGGCGGTATTTGTGGGTTTGGGAAAGGGGAGGGATGGGGAGAAGCACCGGGGGCTACAAAGAGGTGCACAAAGAGCCTTTCCTCAAGGCAAAACCGACGACAACAAAAAAAAGATATTTATTTCTAAGAAATGTCATCTGCAGTCGGTACAAGTCATCTGGACACCACGATTTATATACATATACAAGACATTTAAAAAAAAAATAAACCAAACAAACCAAAACAAAAACAAAACAAAAAGAAAAAAACGCTTTTACATCTCCAAGGAACACTGTGGATAATGAGCCGGTCGAGAGAGGGAAAGAACCAAACCCCAAAGACAACATTGTGCATTTTCCCGGCTTGGCAGCGGAGAAGAGACATTCCAGTTTTCTGGTAGAGATAGAGAAACCCCCATGAGAACATATATCCCCCCCAAAAAAATAAAATAAAATAAAATATAAAAGTCTCGTAGAGCAACTCGCTCCCACCCAGGACCTCAACCCAGCGGTTGGGATGTTGGGGCGACCCCGGGCAATGGTTTTTCTTCCCCCTCGGTAGCAGCTTTATTCCTTATTTTCCGTCCCTAGCGCCGAGAAAACACGAAGCTGACGCGGCTTTGCCGGGGGTTCTCCACACATTTACACATCGGTGGGTGAAAATGGCCCGAGAAACCAGAGATTAGCGGAGAGGATGAAGGGGGGATCGGACTATACAGCATTACAAGGCGACATCTCTCCTTTAACTACACCCTTAGCTTATTATTATTATTATTTTCTTTTAAAAATATACACAGTTAAACCTGATCGATGGGTTGTTTTGTTGTTGGTTTTGTGTTTGTTTTTTTTTTTTCTCAGAGCAAAACCGGGGGGTTTCACAGTCAGAGCTGGGCGAAGGGATAAATCAAAGATGCCTTCAGTGTGGTTGGGTTTCTTTTTTTTGGGGGGGGGGGACACGCGAGCATCTACACTTGTGAATGTCGGTTTGGGTTTGGGTTTGGTTTTTTTTTTTTTTAATGACGATTACTTTTAAATAATGACTTGGAATCAGCAGGATCCCCGTGGATGCGATCATACAAACTACCGGATAAATATTTACGCTTCTTGCTTCCTTTTCTTTGCCCCTTTTTCTCCTCCGAAGTCATCCTCTGTCAGGTGGCGTGGAGATGCGCTGTCTTGGATTTGTTCACCACTTTCTTCTCCTTGACCCTCCGGTTCTGGAACCAGATAGTCACTTGGCGCTCAGACAGGTTGGTGGTGGCCGAAATCCTCCTCCTCTTCTCTTTGGTGATGAATTTGCTGGCCGCGTACTCCTTTTCCAGCTCCTTCAGCTGGATTTTGGTGTAAGGGACCCTTTTTTTCCGGCCCCTCCTATAGCTGCTGACTTCGGGTTGTAAGGGGACCACGTCTGGATTTAAAACAAAAAAAAATAAAATGAAAATAAATAAATAAAAAAAATAAGGAAGAGGGGAAGAAGGGGGTTATCAACATCCCAGAGAATTGAGGGGGAAAATTTCTGAGAGTCGGGGAGAGAAAGAAAAGGAGGGGGAAGGAGGATAAAGTGTGGAGGAATGCGGGCGAAGAGGAAAGGAGAGAAAGAGGAGGGGGAAAAGAGACAGGACAGGCAGAAAATGCACCCAACCAAGGTGGATAACACCAGGATAATAGGAATAATCACATTACAGCGGTAATTCACGGGGTGAAAGCCTGGTTTTCTTGGCTACGCTCTGACAAACAAGGAGCATCAAGACAACCCCAGGGCTGAGGTGTGCGGGCAATCAAAGGGACCTTCCAAACCGACAGAATTTAGGCAAGATCACGAGCTTCTCCCCTATCTCCTTCTTCCTTTTTCTCCTCTCTCTCCCCTCTTTTTTCCCGGCAGAAAACCTCGGGGGGTCCCCCGCAGTTGTGCAGCCCCAACAGGGAGCCCGGTGAGGAAACAAGTGCCTCCCCCAAGACCCCCACCCGCCCAGTGGAGCCCAGAAAGCCCCTCGGGAGGGGCAAAATCGGGCAAAAATAACCCCGGTGCCTCCCTCCAGTCGCTCCTGCGGGCGGGGATGGGGAAGGGGAGATGCTCCGTGCTCGGTGGGGCTGCGGGGAGCGGGTTCAGCAGAGACTCGGGGGGCATCTTCCCCCCTGCTCCGCCGCTGCAGGGAGGGGGCAGAGCTCCCCCCTAACCTCCCTGGCAGCCTCGGCCCCTTCCCAGCCCCCTGCCAGGGTTGGGAGGGGGGGATTAACCTGGGCATGGGAAGCTCCGCGCCGCAAAGGTGTGACCCAGCTGGCAGGAGCAGGAAGATGGAGGCGAGCTCTGCTCGCAGGCAGAGCAGCCCCAATTATGGCTGACAGGCTCAAACTGGGGAGTTTTGGGGGGATTTCGGCTGGCTGGGGGCTGCAGCCGAGGTCAGTGGTGGTGGAAGGGGTAGGATTCTCCTTTAGGGGGGGTTCACCGCAGGTAGTGTGGGGACAAAGCGCTTGGGGTGGCAGCTCCCCCAAAAGCATCGTGACCGCGAGGAGAACCCCCCCTCAAAACCATCCCCACCCTCATCATGCAGCCAACGACGCATTGCCAAATTCTCTCCCCCCTTCTTCGTGCCCCCAAAAAGCTCCTGGGAAAGCTCATCCTCCGTCTCTCTTTGTCCCCATGAAGATAAACAAGCCGGTGTCCCCACGCATCCCCCTCCCCCCCCTTCTCCCCAAAATTAACGCCACCCGTCCCTTCCCTCCATCCAAGAGGATGGGGGGGTCGTGTCCCCCCTTTATTGTGGTTATTCCACTCACAGCCCTCCGCGCTGGGACTGGGGGGGCTGGAACGGGCTTGGGGAGAGGCACCGGGAGAGGCAGCGCCCACCACCCCCTTCCTCCCCCCGCTACCGGGAGGGACCGGGAGGGGAAGGGAGCGAGGGGTTTACTGGGTTAAAAGATGCTCCAAGGAGAGGTTTTCGCCTTCCCGAGCACCCGCGGGCTCTCAGGATGCCCCGCCGGTCCCCCACCCCTCTGCCTCCCTCCTTCTCTCCAAACCGATTCATTTGTCACTTGACACCTATTCCTATAATTGTGCGTAATTGAGATATGATTTACTGTCCCAGCCCCCCGACAATTCTCATTCGACCGAACCGTTCGAGATGGGTTTTTGATTATTATTATTATTGTTGTTGTTGTTATTATTTTGCCCTTTCTAAGCTCTCTGCATATGGAGGTGCGGCAAGCAGAGGGAAAGATGAAGAGAAGGCAGCGAGAGACTCTCCTTAGGTGAGGCAAGAGGAGGGAGGAGAAGAAGAAGAAAGGGAAGAATTAAGGAATTAAACGGCGAAGTTACTTTCCAAGCAAGCTCACGGCGTGTATTTTGATTCAGAAATGATTGCTTCACCCTCTTTCCATGCATGTTCATACACATTGCCCGGCACAGGAGGCATTCCAGAGCCATTTCTTCCCCTTTAATTACACATACAGGCACACACGGATCTATCTGCGTGCGTATATAGAGATATATGTGCACACTCATCCGCTCGCATTCACATCCACCCCTCCGCCGACGAGCTGGAGGCTGGGAAGAGGCGAGCACGCCACTTCCCGGAGGAGCCTACCTGGGAAAGGTGATTTCCAGAGGTGCGCGGACTGCGATTGCTCTTTGGAGCAGTACACTTGCCCGTCCCAGCCATTAGAAAGAGCCCAGTGCTGGTAACCTTCCATGGGAAGCAAAGCGTCGTGTCTCGGTTCCGGGTGAGCCCCGAGCCCCGGCACCACCGACACGTCCAAATAGCCAGGGACCGCCTGGTAGGAGCCGGGAAAACCGGGATAAAAGGCGAATTCCTTGGCCCTCGACGGCAGCTCCTCGCCGGGCAGGGGCCCGCCGGCCTCGGGGTACTTCTCGCCGGGGTGGTACGCGCAGGGTTTCTGCTGCAAGTTGACTCCGTGCGAGTGGGACAACCTGCAGCCGTAGTAGCCCCCCGCGAAGGGGTAACCGTAGCCCAGCGCCGCGCTGGAAGCCGCCCCCGACGGGCACTGCCTGGGGGGCTCTGCGGCCGCCAGCTCCGCGTACGCGGCTCCCTGAGGCGGCGGCGGCGGGGGAGGCGGCGGTGGCGGCGGAGGGGCGGTGGGCACGGCGAGCCCCGCGTGGGGCATCATCTCCCGGCAGTGCCCCAGCCCTTCCATGCGGTTTTTCTCCCGCGGGGCGTCCTCGCAGCGGCAGGCGAGGCCGTCGGGCCAGCGCGGGGGGAGCCCGAGCGGCGCCGTCATGTCATGCCGCGCCGCTCCCGCCGCCGTCGCTGCTGCTGTTGCCGCTGTTGTTACCACCTCCTCCTCCTCTTTTCCCTCCTCCTCCTCCTCCTTCTCTCCTCTCCTCTCCGCCAGCTCTTCCTCCTCCTCGTCCTCCTCTTCCTCGGCGCCCGTCGGGGGAAGCTCCGCGCCGCGACCCCCCCAACATATCGGCGCCCGCGCGCGCATGCGCCGGGGCCGCGCGCCCGCCGCCCCATTAAGAAAAATCCACGGCGGCCCTGCCCCCACCCCCACCCCGCCCCCACCCCCACCCTCACCCCCACGGGGCCCCTCCCACGGGGCCCCTCATTGGACCAGAAGGACCCGTTCCTGCCTCCCTCCCCCCTTCCCTCCTCTCCCCCTCCTTCCCATTCCATTTTTTTCCCGCCCCGTCGGGAGAGGAGAAGGAGGGGGGGGGATCGCACAAAGAGCGTCCACCAACACCCACCAACACGACCAGCCCACGCGTGTCCTCACGGACCCCTCGAAATGACACGTGGGGGAGGGCACAGATGTTTCCCTGGAAAGCTCCCCCCCCCCTTCCTCCTCCATCAACTCCCTCCGTCATCGACGCCCCCTCCCCGATATATCGCGCCTGGGGTTGGGGGGGTGTTATCCTTGTGCTCCCCCCTCCCCATATCCCACCTCCCCCAAGGATATTTCAACTGGAAACGACGAACAATCACCCCTCGATGCTTCGAGGGGGCGGACAAAAAGCAACAACACCCCCCCAATCCGTCCCCCCCTCCAATTTTTCCACCCAACTCAACCTGCTGAGTATTTTTTTTCCTTCTCGAGGTGCTTCCCCCCCCCCCAGGCGACCACCCCCCAAAAAATAATTTAAAATAGAAAAAAAACTTACCCAAACGCCCCCACCTCCAATTTTCCTGCCAGACTCTGAAATAATTTGATTTTTCCCCCATTTAGGATGCCGGGGGGGGGTGGGATGGTTATTGATGTTTAATAATTCGCTGATAAAAATCGCAGCGCTGTGGGGGAGGGATGGAGAGGGGTGGGGCACTGCGAGGGGGGTCTCTTGGTCCGGGTAAAAATGTGAATTAATTCACTGGGCTGCCACGGAATTGGGGGAAAAACGGGGAAAACCTGCAGGTTGAGGGCTGGGGGGGTCGCAAACCTCAGGGAGAGGAGTTTTTAGGGGAGGGAGGAAGCTCTGAGGTCTTCAGCACCCTCGAAAAATCCATAGAAAAAGAGGGAAAATGGAAAAAAATTGTCATTTTTCGGGACTTGAGTTCTGGAGAAGACCTTCGTCTTCTTCCAATTCATCCCACCAGCAAAAACAGCTGGAAAAAGGCAAAAATATCCATCAAAACTACCCCAAATCCTGGATTTGGGGGAGCCTGAGGGAAAAGGGGAGCCCTTGGAAGGGCGAAGGGGAGTTCTGGGTTAAACCTGCCCCGCTCCGAGCGCTCGGGGAGGGATTTTCGGCTTCCTAAAGAGCCGTCGAAGTCCAAGTTCAAGGCGAAATAACCCGGGCGGGTCCCCGGGAGCGTCGGGGATGCGACCCCGGAGAACCTTCCAGGGACTTCGGGCTGGGTTGAAAAGCGGGGGAATAAAAACAATAAAAATGGCACGAAACGGGATTGAAACGGGGGGAAAAAAAACCAGGATTGGAATGGGAAAATGAGTGGCGTGGAATGCCACGCGATGGGAAAAAGTGGAATAAAATAAGAGGGAGTGAAATAAAGATAGTACTGAAATAAAATGGTAAATGAAATGGAATATTTAAATAAAATCCAGTGGAATAAAATAAATGCACGTTAATAAATAAATAAATAAATAAATTTAAAAAGCCGTGCCCACATCCTTTCCTATTCCACAAAGGGCTGCGAGTCCAGCCAGAAATCATCCAGGAGGAACATCCCAAAATCCACACGGCTCGGGTCGGGTGGGGTTGGGGGGGTGATGGAAAAAACAGAGGACTAAATGATACGTAAATTAAAGCCGGGTGTTGGCCACCTCGGGGGTGGGGGACTGGGAGTGGGAGCTGAACTCAACCCCCTTTCCTTCCCTTCCCTTCCCTTCCCTCCCCAGGTTTTTTTTTTTATTATTATTATTATTTATTATTATAATTTTCCTTTGCACCTTGAATTTTTATGAAGTGGTTAACATTGGGGAGCACATGTCCGGGATTAAATGTTAAAAATGTCAAGATTTATGGCGAGGGAGGGAAAGGAGGACCCGGGAAGGGCTCGGGAGTGAAGGTGGGAGCCCCGAGAAATCCCAAAAATAAAGCCAAACTGCGCTGGGAAGGGCATTGAGGGGAAATATTGTGGGTCGGTGGGTTTGTGAGGGCTCCAGGAAAGAAATTAGGGGAGGGGAGAGAAAATGAAGGGGAAAAAGAGGAGAAACGAGAGAAAAAAATTGAAGGAGAGGAGAGGGGAAAAAAAAAAAAAAGGTGAGAAGAAAAGAAGAGAAAACAGAAAAAAAGAAGATAAAATGGAAAGAAGAGGAAAATATAAGAAAAGAAGGGAAAATAGAAGGAAAGAAGAGAAAATAGAAGAAAATAACAGGAAATAGAAATAAACAAGAGAAAATAGAAGTAAATAAGATGAAATAGAAGAAAATAAGAGAAAAGAGAAGAAAATAAGAGGAAATAGAAGAAAATAAGAGAAAATAGAAGTGAAAAATAGAAAGTAGGAGAAAATAAGAGAAAGTTAGAGAAAATAGAAGAAAAAAAGAGAAAAATAGAAGAAAACAAGAGGAAAAGGGGCTTTTTGTGGAGGTAACAGAGGAGGAAAATCTCATTTCGAGTGGTGGTTTCCTGGGGAAGGGGCAGCGGCTGAGAAGGGTCGAGGTACAAAGAGACCTTGGGATGCGAAATCGAGGATTTCCCTTTTTTAAAAAAAGAAAAAAAGCCTCTCTTTTCCAAGAATTTCTTTTAATTCGGGAGCTTTGAGGGTTAAAGCCCCCGAAGCAGCTCAGGGCTGGTCAAAGGTGGAACCGCTTTGGAGAGGGGGGGACCACAAAGAACAAACAGGGAGAGGAGAAGGAGCGATTAAAAAACAGGGCAGATGTGAGATCGGGTGGGGTTTAATAGCATTCCCCCCCCAAAAAAATCCTCCCCCTGAAGGTGTTTTTAAAGTCAAATATTCCTCTTCTTGTTCATTTACACAATAAAGGCTGGAAGAGCCCGCACGGTTCACGAACCATCCCCTTTTTCAGCGTCGCTTCCTAAAATTAAGGATATCAGGGGGGGTAAAATGGGTGGATATCAAATAATATCGACTGATAAATTCCTTTTTGGAATAAATTCCTTTTTCGGCTCGCAGATTGTTCCACAAAGGGGTTTTTATGCGGCTCCTTCCGAGAAGAGAGAAGCTGAATTTTCCTCTTCTGCAGACAAGGATGGGTCTGGCTCCTTCCCCTTCCCTTTCTCTGCCGCCTTGGAGAGAGTTCCCGGCAGAAATTCGGTGTATTTTTTAACCTTTTTAAAATTCCTGCTGGAAGGAAGAGAGAAACGGGTTAATCTCCCAATAAATAGGGGGGAAAAAAAAATTAATTCTCCATCTCCTTGAGGTGTTCCGCTCTGGGAAGTTCTTTCTCAGTGTTTTATCTCCAACAAAGCAGCTGCCCGGTTTTTAAGGCAGTTTTTTACTCTCTGTCCTTGAAATTAGGCATTTATTGCCACTTTTCCCTTATAAAAAAACACAAACCCGCACCGAAATTTAGGACAGAGTCCAGGGTATTGGTTTTTTTTTGCAGGTGAAGGCGTTTGCAGCCGGAGATGTTGAGGCTGTCAATACATCGCCTGGTGGAAAGGTTTAATTGACCAGCAGATATTCGAGGTGAATCCTCCAAAAAGCGGATTTTTTGCCCCAAAAGCAACTTTTGCCCTGAAAATACCGAGTCGGTCGCACTGGGGTTCGTCTAACGGAGCTCAAAGTCAAGCTCTGCTCTTCCAGGCCGGGGAAATCTCACCCCCAGCGAGATGAATCGGCCCAGGAATTTTATGTAAAAAAGCCTTTTTTTATCAGCCGCCTATCCTGGAGATTAAAAAAAAAAAAAAAGTCAAGATGAAATAAAGGAAAAAAAAAAGGTAAACCCTTATTTTTTAAAAAAGGAATGGAAATAATTCCCCTCAAACCTGCGGCACGTGGGTATTTGTCTTTCCTTTTTTTCCCTCCCCCATGGATTGTTGTTTTGCAGATCAAGAAAAAAAAAACCCTCTCCTCGATACAAACTTTTTTTCTGAAGGGGAAAAAAAAACCTCAACGTGTTTGTGGTTCTTCCCACCTCCAGAACTCTCCCGTACAAAGGAAAACGGCCAAGGTATGAGTTTTATTGGAGGAAAATCGGCTCCAGCTGCTGTCAGTGCCTCTAAAACCACGATGCACACAGGGGAAAAAAATAAAATAAAACCCCTTACCTAGATTTGGAAAAAAAAGGTTATTTTTCATTATATTTTTGGGGGAGGGGGTGAAACAAAGAAGGGGAATTTTAGCTTTGGAGCCCTCAGGGAAATCAGAGCCCGTGTATGAGAAAGTCTTGAGATCAACACACGATTTTCCCACCGGAATACCAATTTAGTGAAGAAACCATTCCACTAAATCTCATATTCTTGCGGAGGAATCCAAGGGAAGTTTTCCCAGGCTTCGTTCAAAATCTGCTTTGGATAAATAAAAGCCAAACCCGACTTCTTTTCCCAAACTTTTATTTAATTTATTTTTTTTTTTAGGGAGAACTCCAACCTCCCCTGGTTCAGCTCAGAGCGGAATTCGTGCGACCAACCAGGCTGTGGCCAAGCCGTGCCCGAAACCGCTCAGCAAAACATGATTAAACACCCTTTTCCCCCGCCCCACCCCCAAAAAAACTAAAAAAACCACCCCAAAAAGCTGATAAAATAGTAGAAAATCAAGAGTTTTGAGTCAATTCCTCCCAGCCTCTGCTTTTGTCACCGATTCTTCACTGGAGATGTTTATACAGGGAACGAAAAAGAAAATTAAATAACCCCCCTCACCAGC